CCTGTACAAAACCCATATTCTTCTTCTTTTTCTTCTTACAACTGAGAAATTTATTAAATATTGGCCTTTTACAACATAACCCGTTTTGTATCTTTCTGTGTAACATTTATAACTTGTTTCAGAAACTTGTGCTTGAAATGTTATATGTTTGAAACGTTGAAATATTTCTGCAAGCATGTGTGATGTATGGGCGGATGCTTCACTTATAACACGCTACAGTTATAATAATTACATCCTGCTGCGAAACCATTATTGTTAACTTTAATATTTAAAACAAAATTCTTCCGTTCGTATGTGGACACAATATGCCATTTTTTTTACATAACTGCGAACAAATTAGGGCGAATTCATTTGCTTTCGTTCGCTGTATGAATATGCGCCTTCAGAAAAGAAAATGTTTTTTCAGAGTTTTAATGTTATATGAAGAGTTACTATATGTTATTAGTTTGTTGAACCCCAATTTGTCATTGTAAATATTTTTGATAGGATCCTTAACGTTTATAACAGTGGCAGCATAAGACCATATTATTCCTAGAGCTGATAAAAGACTTTCTAGAGATGATGATGCTGTTTGAGTGCAAAATAAAAAGGGGAAGGCCAAAACTAAAGGATGAGGCAATAACATGTACATTCCCAAATCTCCCTTTATGCTTGTAGTATAACGATAAAAAATCTGTTAAACTATATTTAAGTAAATTCAAAAAAATCTAGTTACAAAATTGTACTTACCAAATTTCACAATTTAACAAATCTTTTCGAATTTGGTCATATACCTACCGTATTTGCATTTTATATAAACATAAATAATTTATCAATTAAAACATGCCAGTTTATTTAGAAATAAATACATTATTTATTTAGCAATAAACAAGCTTATTTTTATTATTTTCACAAAATTATATAAAATTCTCATAAGAAGCCATGTATTTTTAACACCAGCGCCCTTGCGGTGAATTGTGAATCCTCAAGTACCCAGACAATACACCAAATCCCAGAGATATTCACAGAATATCTTTTGTGGATATCCAATATATCTACAGGATATCAGAAATATTCCGTGGATCTAATATGGATATCCAAATGGATATTCAGCAAAATATCTAATGGATATCTTCCAGAAAATACAAGAAATCCCAGAGATATCCACAGAATATATTTTGTGGATATTCAATATATCCAATATGGATATCCAACCAAATGTATGTCTATATCCCAGGATATAGAAGATATTCGGATATTCAACAAAATATTTTATGGGTATCTTTAGTAGAGGTTCATTAGTAACCAATGATTATTGAATAACGTCGAAAGAAAATAGCAGAGATAAAAAATATTTTCAACACTCAAAATATTTTTAACACTCTGCCTTTGATTTTGTCCACTAAGGAGAAAGTCATCCTTATTAGGACTCTTCAGCAATAAATGGAAATTCTCGACTCGTCTCTAATGGAGTCTGTAGGACAAAAATTTCGATCGAACTCTATTACGGCGGGTCGAGCATGAGTAGATGCGATAGTGGTATCGCCATCTATACTTAGTAAGCAGAACCAAAAAACATCTAGTGGATATCCACGATGGTTTGCGTTCGCACCTAGACTTTGATATATTTAGTGGATGTTCATGGGATATTGAATACACCTTAAAAAAATTTATTTTAAATATCTGAACGGTACTATTACAATGGCGTAATTTTTTAATAATTTGCTATATAATTACTATTATTTATGGACATTTGCATGTCTATAAATTACATCTCATGGATATAAAATATATATCTACCATGGACTGGACATTCAGTGGATATTAGGATGTTCAGTAGATATCCAAAGGATTTGGTGTGCTGTCTGGGTAGCTTTCGTTTTTGGGACCGTATTTTTAGTATGCCGATTCGCCTCCTTATATCTAGTCATCATAGTCATGATTTTTTACCAACAACTTAAAGGACCAACTTTATTGACCAAAAAGCATTGTGGTTCTTTTGTTTTCGGCTTTTAACTATTTTTTAAAGAAGAGTTTTTTAATGCCCTTTTTTACTTTCCTGTCTGTATACAGATAAGGTAGTATAGGAATCATGATTTTTTCGACCTCGAATTTTCGACGGATTTTTTCGTTTTAGAGTCCCTTGTATCCGTTTTGACTATTTTCGCGATGATTGTGGGTGATGTATACTCGATATTCATGAACGGATACAGAGAAAAACGCCAAATTTGAAACTTAAGGTTTATTTCGGCCTGCGGTGAACTGATTAGATTTTGGACAGAGTCTGAACATGTGGGGGTACTTTAAAGAGGATCATTTTTATATTTTATGGAATATATCTGTTATTTACGTTTAGAGAAGAAAATTCTTTAAATAAAAGTTACTTTTAATATTATTCTCTATAATTTTTGTTGGATACGAATTCTTCTAAAATGGTCCGTATTCGAAAAATTTGTCAAAATGGAAAAAAATTCAAATTTTTAAGAAAATTATTAAAATAAAAGTTGCTTGTAATGTTATTCTTTATAATTTTTGTCAAATACATAATTTTCTTAAAATGGTCCGTATTCGAGAAATTTGACAAAAAGTCCAAAATTCTATTTTTTAGGAAAATTGTTTGCGATATCGATATCTATAATTTGTGTTTCATGCATGATTTCTCTAAAATGGACCGTAATAGAAAAATTGAGGAAAAGTGAAAAATTTTAATTTTTCAGTACATATTTAGTTCATCCTCTAAACATTTACTGGGGTGATATAATGGGTTGTACAGAATAACCTGTAATAACTAGACAGGAAAGTCATGAGTTGGACACATCAGATTTTTTATTATGTCAAAAAACATTCGACACTACCATTATAAAAAAAAACTTAAGACTAATAAAGATAAATAAAGAAGAAATCATAAGTTCACAAAGAATTTAGGTACCAGATACGCAGTGGTTAGAAAAATATTGAATTGTTTGATGAAGTGTACATTGGAAATAAATCATCGTCTACCAGAAAAAGTGTGTCATTTTGATGTTTATGCTTGTTATGAAAGTGGTTTTGATTGTAGCAACCATAGACATCATATTATCTAAGAATCTTTGGTAGCAACAAGTGAACCTGATGAAAACACAAAAAGGATCAAACAATGGGCGAGTTCTGTTAGCCCTCCCACCATTCACGAGAACGCAAAACGTTAGGAGTGACTACATTTCAAAATCTCTCCGTGAATGTTAAAATTGAATCTATTGGCGTGGCGTGATACTTTTGCCCGACATATTTAGCCCCCATTCACATCACTCTAAATGGAATGAATTCGTTTGGACGCCATCCAAATGGATTTTCGTTACATTTATATGAAAACATTACTTTTTGTCAAAAGCGAGGATTATGAGGTATTAGATTGACACTGGCGATATACAGTGTGTCCGTAAAGTATGGAAAAAATTGGATATTTCCTAAACTAAAAGCTTTTCAAAAAAATCTGAAACGTCAATTTTTAATGTTCTACATTTTCCAAGAAAATTTCATTATTCAGGGTGATACATATTAAGGTGATGACGTCATTTTTATATCAAGAGAAATGAGCAGATTCCAAAAAGGTATGATACTTGTGGAATTTCAAAATATGCGCTTAGAAAATAAATTTTATTGATATTTATTTAATTGATACATGACTTTATCTCAAATGTTCGAACTGTAGCCCTTGCTGTATTCGACAGTAACCCAAAAGTTGTACAAATTCTTGTTGAACCTTGTTTATGGTTTCTTGAAAAATATTATTTCTGTTCGAATTCTCTCTTTTAATTCTTCAATATTTGCTGATTTCGTTTTATAAACATTCTTCAGATGGCCCCACATAAAATAATCCAAAGGATTGAAGTCTGGCGACCTTGCTGGCTATTAAATGTCTACTATTACCAATCCACCTGTTTGGAAAAATAATGCGAAGGTGTACCATCCTGTTGGAACCATAAACTTTCATCAAAACCTCCAGGATTAATTCTACTGGTGAATAAATTAATTAACGTAGGTACGAGATACTGCCTCTATGCTTTACACTTAAGGTCATTTCTACTTCAAATTAATTCTAAGCAATAATACAGAACATTCACGAATTATTAAAACAATTATTGTACTACTTAAATATTACTGAGTCAATAAAAATTTATTTTCTAAGCGCATATCTTTGAAATTCCCCAAGTATCATACCTTTTTTGAATCAGCTCATTTCTCTTGATCTAAAAATGCCACAAAATTCAGGATCTTACTTTCAAAAAAATTGCCGATGTATCACCCTGTATAATGAAATTTTCTTTTAAAATGTAAAATTAAAAATCGACGTTTCATATTTTTTTGAAAAAGCTTTTAGTTTAGAAAATATCGAATTTATTCCATAGTTTATGGATACACTGTATGTACAGTTTACAGGCTCTAATTACTAAATCTGTATATTTAGTAGAAAAATTTAGAAAAAAAAAGACTTTAATGTTTGAAGTGTACAAAAAGCCATACTTTGATATTTGCTTACTCGTGACCTTCAATGTAATTTTAAGGTCAACCTAGTTTTTAAATGCACAACCTTTATTAAACACAATAATTAATAACATTTGTAACTCAACTTGAAACTTTTTTTGCTATACAAGATAACCAGAGCTAGTAACCTAAAACCCTGTATATGAATCGTCCATTGATCAAAATTATTTTGTTACTATGATAGTTGGTTTAATTTGTGAAATTATAATGGACCTACATAATTGATCAAAAATCAAATAAGACTCTATAGGTTTGTTGAATTTTCAACTGTGAAGATATCGTAAAGTTATATTTTTTTTTAGATTTAAATTAGGCATAAGACTGCCACCAGAATTTTGAGTGGTTCACTGGTGTTAAAAGTTATCAACTTAAGACTTGGAGATTATTCAATCTACAAGCACAAACAATCAAACTAAAACATTATAAAATCATTACAATTATATTTATCACGTACCTAATACAAAATATTACTTATAACCAAAGATTAAGACAGTGAACGGAAATAGAATACAATAAATTCCATATTTTTAATTTAGACAAATACACACAGAGATATTTAACTTTCTTGATGACTCATGGCCCTAGCTTGGGCTCTAACTCTCTTTTCATATTCTAAACGATTTTGGCAATATATTGTGTAAGCCTCAGCCTGCGCGGGGTCCTTTACGTTCGGTTCGTTAAGTAGATCTTGTATGCCCAATAAAATTTGTTTGATAGTAATTGCTGGTCTCCAGTCTTTTTCTTCATCGAGTAAGGATAAACAAACTGTTCCTGAAATAAAAATATACAATTGTGGATTGGTCTTGTATAAAAAGTGTAAGTAATTATATTAATCACAAAAGTAACAAGAAAGTCAAAGTCACATGCCATATAAATACATCTAAAGTTAAATTGACAATTGGAAATAATAATAAAATTATTGGAATATTTTATACTGTTTGATTTTAATGTTATAAACATAGGTGATTATTAAAGAGAGATTTAAAACAAAAAGTTGTAATATAATAATTACTTAAAATCGTTTCTAAAATTATTCATATCATTCAATTAAGTTTAGAAAAAAAAAAAAAAAAAAAAGAATTTAAATTTAATGGAAAAATCAAATAAGAATACAAAATATTAATTTTGTTGGTTGAGCTGAATAACCATTGTCAAAATTGCTACTTTTCTTTTAGGATGATAAATTAGCTACATTTAAAAGTGAAAACTAAACACTATTGTTAATGATATATTTTTTTATATTTAGGTACATTAAGCTTTACAGATTAACTCACTCATTGTTCATATTGATGACATGAACATCGCCCATTATGCACAGTCGGTGATCTCTTTTATTAAACAAAATAACGGCCGCCATTAGGTGATGGCTATAAAATATGTCCAATGAAGAATGAATAGTTTTTAAATTGATGTAAAAATCAACCCGCTAGCGACTTATGCTAGGGAGTATTACAAGTTTTAATATAGAAGTTCAGTTGCCTCTGTTGGTAATATATTAATCGTTTCCTAATATTATTCATTCATTTCGAATTATGAAAGTTTACAACACCTGAAATAAGTATTTTCTCTTCTTCTTTGTTTCATCATTTATTATACCATTGAGATTCAATGAAAATAGACGCTTTACTGACAACCAGCAAAAATAGTAAAAGAAAGAGAACAAATAATAATAGAGTACTGGTAGAGAAACATAATAAGACTTCACAAAATAGGAAAAAAGGAAATAAGGATGCTACCAGAAAATTAAAGAAAAACAAGGTCGCGATATAGCACAGAAAACAACTAAATTAGTTTATACAAAGTAAGATAAATGTATGTTTTCGTTATTTTACTGAGAAACATTAGGCATGTTTATTTCTATTTACTAATATCACTGCTTATGGCTTTCTGAGAATGTTGTTTCACCTATAGTCTGAATAAAAGAGGAGTGCAATAATAGTGGGGATATAACGTCAAAATTCCATAGGCGTACTTTACAAAATAAGTTTCTATACCTAATATCAATAAGGTCACGACATATAAAATGGTATATACACACTTCGTAGATTAAATTTTAAATGAAAAAGTTATATTATTTACAAAAAATAAAAATAAAGTGCTTGGTCCTACTCTGTTCATATTGTATATTAATGACATTATGCAAAATACAACTATTTGCTGATGACACAATAATGTATGTAGTGGGTGATAGGGTAGAAGAAATAATAGATATTTTGAATAACGAACTAAAAAAATGTATTAAAATGGTTAAATAACAATTCCCTAAAACTTAATATTGAAAAAACAAAAATGATGATTATTAAAAGTAAAAATTCTATGCTAGATTTTAGTCTCAATAGTATTGTAAAAATTGATAATAATACCACCGAGAGTCTCAATTTAAATATCTAGGGTGTATAATAGAGAGTACTTTATCATTTTCAGAACATTTTAAGTATATCACTAATAAAATAGCAAGAAGAATAATGTCATGGGATACATGTCAAGATATACTTCCAAAAGAAATAACAAAAAGCTATGCTGATTATATTGGGCTGTAACCGGTATACTAGAAGAACTGATATGTTAAATTTAACTAATTTATTTAGTGTACGGCAGACTATTACTTGTAATACCATGATATTCACATATGAAATGTTAAATAGTGTATTGTATGTTAAGACTTTTTGTTGGTATATGTATATATTTTTTGTACCTCCACAAGACCAAACAATTGTCAAAAATTCTTTTTAGGTTAGAATTCCAGCTATTGAGAGCCTAACAAGCAAATATTTTCATGATACTTTATCTCTTCTGTTAATCATTATTTACCTTACAGTTACTGATACCATGACATTAATATACATATCTGTTTTAACAGCTAGATAAATTTAACATCACCTTTACAATCACATTAATAAACTGGCCATTAGGTAGATAAAATATTTATTCATGAAAACAGGTATTATATTAATTTCCTATAGGCACACAATATTTCAAAATATTTTAGAAACATTTTTTTAAATATTTCTAAAAGATTTGATATTTATTAACTATTTTTATAAACATTTTTTTTTTCATTAAAAAATATTTTTATATTTTGGTGGTGATAGGGGTAGACATATCACCCCCCCTGATTGCCTTAACGCCCCTCATTTTCCTCTGGATCTGCTACCGCCCCCATAGAAAGTTTCAACGCCCACTGGGGAACATATGATGTACACAAATATGTATCAATAAATAAGCAGAATATAGTAAGGATATGCCATCTGCCTGATAATATAAAAACCATTAAAATCAAAAAATTCGAACCTTTTAAAGATTCCTCTACATCAGGTTGGAAGGTCAAATCATAAGACATATATAGTCAGGCTGTAGAGAAAGTGGCCATCAGCATAGGTTTTAAAAATAGGATATTAACATAATAAAAATTATTTCAAACTAAAATATAATTTGAGTTCTCATGAAAAAATTATTTTTTTGAATTAAAATATGCTTTAATTTATAAAATAAAGAGACGATTATTGGTAGTAACTAGTTAAAACATTTCAAATAAAAAAAAACCTTCAGAAAAATGAGATTCCGTTTATACATTAACTCTAACTTTATGAAGTACTTCTTTGCCATTTGTAAATACTGTATTAATCTTACTTTTAAAATAAGCGAACTAATTTCAAATTATTCATGTATTGTGCTGGTTATTTTTATTCAACTTCATATTAAAAAATTACCAATAGCAGAATAACACCTATTTATTAATAACAAAAACTGTGTAACAATTGTGCCTTAACTAATAAATAATAGATTCACAGCCAACCAAATTTACATTAACATAAACACTGTGTTAATAAAGTATTGATTAAATTCCTTACTTACTAAATTAAAGACATTTAAAAATCCACAGATAAATTAATTTTTATTTTCATCATCATAATATCACATATGTTTGTGACGTAATCAATATTTTAAATATGACGTCATCCATATTTTTTTTTTAATTAAACACCCTATTTATTCCTTTTGGGTTGTAAATTCATAACAATTTCCAAAAATATAGCATACATTATATTTTGTATTTAATAATTTTGAATATTCAATCATTTAAGATTTGTATTTTTAAGGACCTTTAACTTTCACCCTGTAACTGTGAGCAAAATTTTGCAGTGCTGAACACTCTTAGAGACAAAAAATAATGCAAAATACGCAAAGGAAATTTGACATTAATTGAATTTTTAGTCAATTTAAATAAATCAGTGGCATACAAAAGTTTTTGAAATAATTTTATATATTTAGTTCGGCTGCTTATATTAAGTTCTCCCAAATTAGTGATGTGGATTGGTCACACATATTATTGGAACATGATTCCATTGAACAGTTCCATAACTCTTTACTCGGGAAATTCAATGAAGCATTTCACCTTAGAAGGGTAAAGCAGAAAAAGGCAAAATGTTGGATCACCAAAGGTTTGAAAGTCTCAGCTAGTAATTTAAATGCTTAGACCGAATTTAAAGAATTATTGCTCATGACAATTTTGGTTTTCAATCGATAAAAAAACACAATTTTTAACTTTTTAGAAATATTGTATTTGTCTTTGAATGATAAATGTGTTGCTGCTGGCATATTTTGTGACAACAAAAGCTTTTGATTGGGTAAATCATAAGATATTGGAAAAGTTAGAAAAATATGGTTTTAGAGGAACTGCATTAAATTGACTTGTTGGGTCATATTTGTCAGGTGTGGGTTTCCTCATGGATCTGTTTTTGGTCCCTTCTTTTTTCTTATTCATTTTAATGACAAAGCAAATTTAAATATCAGTGGAGGATTCACAATTTTTGCCGATGACATCAATATTTTATGGAACGCCACAAATTCAACTGTTTTATCTGAAATGATTAAGTCCCAATTTTTTTTTTTTAATTTTTCTCACTGTTGATTGACTAATAGATCGTTCTGCTTATTTATTATTAAACAAATCACATACCTCTTGCTGAGTTTTCATCTTATTACCAGACTCAATTAACATAAGAACTTCAATTATTTGTTTTAGAGATAAACAAATTTTTAAAATAGCAATCAACAAATTACCAATAATTAAACTGGTACTACACTTCCTTTGTATTCAAGTAATCACTGTCATTAGGAAATATTAAAAAGTGAATTATTATCAAAACTTTTACTGATTTTAAAATGACTGAATCTCCAAAACTGTTAATTACATATCATGAGTATGATACATTTCTGGAATCTGCCATGAATGTACGATCCAAAAAAGAAAAATATACAGGATGTACCTACAATGGCATGGTTGAAAATAAAAATCAACGTGTCTGAGGATTTTTTCAAATTGCCTTTAATTTGAGAAGTAAGGAATTTATTCCATACTTTATGTACACAGTGTATATTATATACCTGATGGATAAACATTGGGATGGAACAGTGGAGGTTCAAATTTGCATTTTGGTGGACTGGTGGGGTAATCTTCTTTGAACAACATTCTTAATTTGTAGTGTCCTTCCTCCCAAGGAGTTCCTTTTTTACCAGGAATAGAGCATTCCCAGTTCATGAGATTGAGAGTACCATCTGGATTTTTGGAAGGACGAGCGACAAAGCCAAAAGGATGATCTTTTCTCCATGCCTTTCTTTCTTCGGTTAAACGAGCACCTGCTATTCCAGACATGCTGAAAATTAGAAATAATTAAAAAAATAGTAAGAAAGATAATTTTGTAGCCCACCCAATTCAATGAAATAAAATTCGCAATAATTCATGACCTTTTGCAGATTATTGCATCAACGAAAATTGAAGTTGGGTTACAACTAATCTAGATTTCCAGCTGATTTCGGTGTTGCACTGGAATTTAGAGATGGACAGTAGCAAATCCGTATCTGTTATGTACATACTGAAGAATGAAGAGTTAATTTTTTGTTTTTTTGTAGAAAATTAGGTACTAGATTTATTATACTTTATATCTTCAATTAGTATGAACAGAAGAAAATGCAGGACATTTTTTTACATTTATGCACCAATGTAATTTGTAACAATTTATTGTAATTTAAATGAGCTTGCTCATAAATAAATAAGTAAATAAATTACCTAACAACAAAAATCATAAGATAATGTGATGAGATGACATTTAAAATTAATTTATTATATTTAAAATAAATATGCTATAATGTGGTTTTATTTTTATTAAATTGTTCAATACATTTTTCAATATTTTAGAAATTCTCATTTATGTTTTTCTTTTAGTATATGTTTTTGTTTTTCTATAAGAACTTCCATATTCATGTAATTTTTTTTATATTTGTGGAAATAATAAATTTATTATATATTTTGATTGTTCTCTCAAATAAGATTCATTAATTCATAGAAAGTAGACTTTTCCTTATGATAGTTGGGGACAGCAACAGGAAGTAATCAAGTTTCAAGCAAAAGCTTTATTTTTCGACATTAAAAAAATCTGTTATCTCAAGTTTCAGTAGATGCAGGGATACATATACGGGAGGGGGTTAATTGGCCCCTCCCCAAGAATTTTTAAACCTAGCCTTTTATAGATACTAAAAATGAATTATCAGTAATAAAGTCTTAAATATTATTTAATAATTTGGCGTCCAAGATGGAAGACTATGTCCCAACACCCTTAGATATACGAGGCCTTCCCATTGGCAACTATTGTTTGACAGGTCATTGGAATGCCTAATTATTTAAAAAAAATCTCGAATATGTATATACTTAATGTGGGCACAGAAAGAACATTACTTTATTTAACACATACTTTAGGGACTAAGCACTACAAAAATGTTTGACATAGATGTGTATTAAGACAAACAATGTCAAGTTAGGGGTTTAAACAAAAAAATGTTTCATTTAATGCTTAAAAATGTTTTTGTCAGCCATGTTTAAAAACCTGTTAACTTTTACTATGTAAAGCTTATGAATAAAATGTTTAGTAATTGTTGATATGTAATTTTTCAAGCAAGAATAAAAACAAAAATAGACAGATTTAAAAAAATATATATTATAACCTCAATTATAGCAGGCATTTAAGCAATTCAGTTTTTAAGATGGTGTAATTGAGTTCTAATTATTGATATTAAAGCATTTTTCAGCTAATATGGTTGGTTTTAGAACATGTATTGAACTTTTTTATTTTTATTCCACTCACATTTCTGTTTGCCTTGTGAAAATCAGATAAATTTTTCATCTATTCTACTGATAGTAAATGAATAAGTAATTTTCATAAAACTCTAAATAAAGTAGGTATGTAAATTATCATTAACATATACTTTGCATCTGTTGATGTATACAGTATGTTAAGTTTCCCACAATTATGCCAGAAGAATGGTATAGAATAAGTGATGCTATTGATTAGAGAGGTAGAATAGTACATGCCAGCCCACTAGCAGTAGAGGTGTATCCATGTTCAATCACTGCAGACAGTCACCCGATTCACGAGACTCTCTTTATTTAACTCTCACAAAAATATAAATAAGCATATCATATTTATTTCAAAAGATCTATAGATTAACATATTGTATAACTAGCCCCATTCCACTCTATTTTCACCCTTTTGAAACCAGTTGTTGACAGCTTTTCTCAAATTATCATCACTTCCTATAATGTGTATCCTTCATACACACAACCTTAGTAAATAGGAGTTTGAATTATTGAATTATATGACCATTCTATTTCAATGACCAGGACCCCTCCCCATTAGAAACCAGGATTAAAGAAATTTAACAAGAGAATGAATTGATGATAGAAAACTAGCTTAAGGTTCAATGTATCCTGGTGCCATATGATAAGTCTTTTGTAAGTCAACAATTGGAGGTGGAGATGACTCTGTTAGGCTACTGTTTTGCTACTAGACGTACATTTTCCTTTATTTAGTTGTAAGTTTAAAATTCATTGACAATATTTGATTTAATCAGAAAATGACTTTCTAATTTAAAATATACATAGTAGGTACATAAATTTCCCTTCTTACACTATTATGGGCATGTATATTTTCGAATAAACATGATTCTAATTCGGGTTTACACAAATGAAATTATTTGGAAATCTCATAAACTAATAATTACTATCTACTTCCTATAATCGGCTAATGGAGGTCGGACTACTTTAGCCGTTTCTAAGGGTCTAAATATTACTAAAATACATCGAATATTTTGAAAAACAACTTTTTAACGATTCATCTCGAACCGTGTAATCATATTCCTAGTAGACACCGATATTTTCTTCGAAAGAAAAAACGCGGGGACCGAGACGCTTCATTGTCATGTCAAAAGTATTGTATCAAAAAATATTACATATTGGGATAAATAATAAATTAAATGTATACATACCCTGTAGTTGTTTATCAGTCCAATTTTATAAGCTATTAAAAAAAATCACTGGTTTCCTCTAAAATTAGTCTACAAACACTCAAAAACTATCAAAATGCCCAGCACAAGCTTACGCCTCTTGTCCTCTTCCCCTCCTACGAGAATTAGACAAGACAATTGACATTTAAAATTTAACGGTTGACAAGTGACAGTACACAGTACACTGGAAAAATAGTAGATGCGTTCGTTTAATAGAACTCCCAGCAGTCCCAGCACACTACTTTTGGTATATATACTGGGTTTTGAGTCTAAACGTTTGCAATTACAATAGGCGAGTTCGGATAGTCAGGGGCTGGAGCGGGACAAATTTTAGGGTGCTTTTAAATGACATTTAAGCGTGTTAAACTGTCACTAATCGGACTAAACCGAATGCTAAAAGGGTCGTTTGGAGTTAAAAGTGTTAAAGGAGTTAAAGGAACTTGGCAGACCGAACGCACATAATGAGTGGCATAGGCACCGCCAGTGGGAGGGTAAAAGGTTCACTTTCCTTCATATGAATAGTTTTTGAAACAATTGTAAATTAACAATTTTTTACAAAGCCGAATATAGATAATTACGTGTACTACATATTTTCTTCACACTTGCATTGCGTCAAACAAACTTCATCCTTTGATAATTTTCTATTATATGGCAAAGACAAAAGATTGAGCGCATCTCGTTTGCGACCTGGTTGCCAACGATTCCATTATTGATAGGTATAAATATTTCAGACTAACATTTTTAGTTTTATTTTTGTATACATCTGTTTTTTCTACCCAAATATATTTCACATATAAACCATAAGATTTATTTATAATGTAAGAAAATTAAATAGAAAGGATGGGATCTACAAATTAAAAGATCGCACAATGGAGGCTTCGACGAGATATACAGGGTTGGGATAAAGTTTGGAACGAAGTAAATATCTTTAAAACGAAAAAGACGATATTTATGAAACTTTGCAGGCAAGTACAATGACGCATAACGCATCTGATGCCATATGTTTTGTTACTACTGTACTTTCGGTTTCACCGGAAATACCCTCAACTTTTTTAATTTAAAGGGGACGCCCTTTATATTTTTGCAGATTTTAAAAGATCTTGTTATTCCGAATTCGTGTCGTACGCTGTATGCATGATTCCACAATGGTGACTAAATCACTAGCAGAATAATTTAGTGGTCGAGCGTCATGGGCCACTAAACCTCACCACTAATGAAAGCACTGTGTTGTAAGTAATCCATTTTAATTTAACGAACGCAATTTGAAATAATTATGAATCGAAAACGACTAAATTAAACCCATGTAGATCGCTTCATGAACAATGCTCGAAGAATATAGTTTAGCTTAATTTTCAAAAATCCAAAATCTAGGTATGCAGCAAAACTTTTAACTTAAAATATGTTTACTTTAAAAAACTTAAAAAATTGCAACAGTGTTTATTATACATAAAATTAAACAAAAAAAAATGACCGAGTATAGTTTACTATATACATTTTGCTAAAGTGTATATTTCCTGAAGGGAACTTTCCTGCATTGTCATATAATTTAAAATTATTGCAGATAATGATACTAAATACTTTCTCGTATGGTAAATCACAAAAAACGCACCAAAAAAAAACTCTAACTATTAGGTGACGGCGAAACAAGTTTATTTGATTCCATAGAAAAAGTTTAATTCCTTACATTTTGTCTTTACCAAAAGTTTTAATAAATCCGCCATAACTCAGAAACTGGTCACAACAATAATTGATAAAACTTTTACACTTTACACTATAAACACAACCCAGACAGTACACGTAGTCCAATGGACGTCCATTTTAGATCCATTTGAGGACCAGAACGTCCATTCATATCCATATTCGGACATCCAGTGTGTACGTCCGTTTATAATCATTAATTTGACAGCTGCATATCGATACTCAGACGTCTGTTATTGGACTTAATTTTAAGTTTAGTAGCATTTTGACGTCCACTGGACGTCTATCTTAGGTCATTATTTATTTAGCCTACCAAATAATACCCGTCTATTTACATTTTCTTTTTTTATAATTAATCATTAAAAAGTGACAAATTAAATCTATTACATTTCATTCTATCAGCGAAAGTCTGAAATCTTATTCTATTAAAACCATATATCTAGTAAAAAGTTTTCAAGTGGTCCGTTGGTCCAGATCGTCTAGCGGTTAAAAGCGTAGAACGTTAACGGACGTGTCGTGAGTTCGATCCCCGCTCAAATTAAGCGATTTTTAATTAAAAATAAAAAAGAAATGGTGTATAGCTGGTTGCGAAATTAATAAATAAATTGGACAAAAAATTTCGATCTAAAGGCTGATTACAACTTCATCGGTCCAGGTTCGTTCCCGACGATATTTTAATTGCAGAATCACTTTTGCCAATTAAACACTATATCTTTTTTTCAACTTGAACTTATGAACATGTCAGAAAATAGAAAAAAGCACTTGTATTTGGCTTCTATCCTGACTAGTCTGATATGTGAGGTAGTTACCAAATCGCTATATCACTAATATAATTCACGACACTACTTACCAAAAATAGGAGTTGACCTACTGGTTTCACAAAATAAAAGCATACAACGTAATGTTTTTAACACTTGATTCACCACTGGATCGCCTCGCCAGCCCGTTATTTGTTTTTGTGTTATTTGTACATTTCTGATTTTCCTAAAGCAGAAATGTACAAATAATAACAAAAAACAAATAACGAGCTGACGAGGCCATCCAGTCTTATAGGCAACCAATAACGCATATATCTTATTTTCAAAGGATTTTCCCCAAATACTCTGTAATGCACATGCGTTGTATTACCTTTAAATATCGCACGGTTGTGCCATTTTTGATTAGGCTGGCAGGATTGTGTAACCCACTGATAGGGAATTCAGTGGTCATAATACTATTGTCAACAAAACCATTGTATAAAGTTACCTTTAGAATATTGATTCTCCCATGGTGCCATCCTTAAAGGGCGCTGTCCTTCCCTTGAGAAGCGTTTTTGTTAAGGTGATTTATCACAAAATGGGAATGGATTGCATAAAAAATTAGTGATTACTTCGATATTTATACTGTATTTTTGTAAATATATAAATACGTGACAAAATATCCTATTCTTAATAAAAAATTTACAGGTTTGGCTTTAAAATACATTTTTTTGGAAATATATTATTCTTTTGGTAATCAAAAATGATTTATTTATAATAACAAATTAGTGATGGAACAAACGTAAATTCGTATGCGCCAATACAATTTTGTGTTCATTGCAAGCCCTTATCACTTCTGCATCATTTGTAGATCCAGATGGACTGCCAATGTATGAAACGCCACTCTAAAAAAAAGATAATACTTCATTATTTACTTTATTAATGCAAACTAAATTAAAGAGTTAATAAAGCTGCCATACTGAGAATAAAAAGAAGAATTTTCATTTAGATGTCTGCTTGGAACTTGCAGATTTTCTCTTCTGATAAAGTTATTGTTTTTGATCTAGTTTGAATTTGTGAAAACTTATTTGGCATTGGTATGTATATCTATGTAATAAATATTTATTGTAATAAAAGTAATTTTAAAAAAAGACTCCGAAATTAAAGAGATTAATGATTTTCTCATGGATCACATTATCAGATACTTCAATAAAATTCAACTTCTCTTATTCATGTCTTATTTTCCATTTATCAAATTTTTGGCCTACAACTTAATAGTTTTTGAGTTAAAATATATTTTCTATAAAACGAACTTACCAGTCGTGCTCTATCAACGTTATCCCTAAATGGAAAGAATGCATCTGACCCAACTGCGACTCCACTCAAGTTATTTAGCCAAGTATTCCTTTCTGTGACAGTCAACTCAATTGGTACTTCATCAAACATCGATTCAAATGAAGATCTGTCCATATCTTTACCTGTCAGAATAGTATTAAATTAGTTAAAGGTGGCGAAATATACCTATAAGTACAAATACAGATTCGTAAGAAAAATTTTACGTTGCATTAGATTTTAAGCCAAAAGTGAGGAATGATAATATACAAATATTCTGCTAGAGACGCAATAATAGAAGAGCAAGATATTCTAGAGTGGTTAGTTCATTACTTGATTATACATCGTATAATTTAGTAGTAAAATCTATTAGCCAAAAAAGTTTTCTGAATCTTTATAAATTATAAGACAAGATTTTTTAATTTTACCTACGGTTCCATTGACAAAATTATCAATGGCATTTGAAATCTCAGCCCGTTTAACGTTTTTCTTAAATTTCATATTGAGAACTTTAGGGTGCTGCCTCAACCACCAATTATCAGCTTTGTCTCCTGCCAACCTAGTGCAATGTATTCTAGATTGTTGACCAGCTCCAATGCCGATAACTTGTCCATCTTTAGCGTAGCATACTGAATTACTTTGGGTATATTTAAGAGCAATTGTAGCAACTATCAGATCTCTTACAGCAGATTCTGGAAGTGTTTTATTTTCAGATACTATATTTGAGAAAACAGAACGGTCAATCACTGCATCATTTCTTTTCTGTTCTAACGTTAAACCGAAGAGGACTTTTCGTTCCATGGAGTTTGGTATATAATTTGGATCTATCTAAAATAGTAAATATAATTGTTACAATAATTACAAATTGGTTCCTTCAATTATTGTACAAA